ATCAAAATTCTCAGACTCCCTGCTAGTGGCTAAGAATGGCCTGTTGGTATGTGGAAACCCAGACACACACACCCATGCTGAAGTCTACCAGGAAACGGCTCACATTGTAGACTTGTTCCACAGATCATCTAGTGTTTAGAGAGGTTTATCTGTACATGCCTTCTTAAGCTTTAGAACAAGAGAACTTTGCCGAGAGTTTCTTGTCACTTGTATGTCATAGGTATTTAATTATCCAGTCATCAGCCTGTCACTTGCCAAGAGCTAGATCTCTGGGGCCTTTAACTTAGCAGATGGATTCTATTGGATGGTTCACCTTCCACTTGCTGGACCATTCTTTTAATGAATACCTACTAGGAGCCACGCACTGCGCTTATCCTGTTCAATGGTACTATTTGATTCCTATTCCTACATATTTTATGATTTTGACACTTCACATTATGACACAAGCTATGCAACCTCTATCGACTGACGTATTCTGGATAGAGACGGAAGTGCTCTGAAAAATCAGACTTTCCACGCAAACTGATGTTATGACCTCCTTTTTTGTTTAATCATAATATCAAACTATTTTGAGCAACCTTCAGTTTACCATTGGATTGCCTTAGCCTCATAAGGCGCTACCTGGCCCAGACAAGCAAGCACTACACCAAGGTGAGAAATTCCTCTTGAAGTCAAAAGTACTCTTACAGTTGGCTGATTGATAAAAACAATTAGCTGTTACTGCAAAGTCCATATTGAAGCAATACTGAAACATATTCTTTTACTGCCCGGATGGAGGAAAACCCAAATCTCACTACTCTACTATCTCACATAGCCTTCTATTCAGTTTCCAAATAGTCACTCAAGCTTTCTACTATCTTGTCTTTAGATATGGAAATTCACCCAAGTTGCCTATTCAGAGCTAATCAGGTTTTCTACCATCTAGACTTCAAGGAAATTCACTTAAACTTTCTAACAAGTTTTTCAAAGAACTTTACTGTAATTTGATTTACAAGAAATTTCCTCTTCCTGCCCTCACTTTACCCTCTAGGATATCTCTAAAGTAGTAGATTAAGGCCTAAGGGACTTTATTTCTTCACTGTGGTAAATATAGTAATATTAGTCTTAAACTTTGTGAATCTATGTATCTGTTTTAACCTTGATAGATTGATTTTAAAAATATTATAATCTCAACTAAAGATCAAAAATGACCCCAGACTATTCTTAGAAAAAAGGTGATTGTGACCTCAGCCCATTTCATATGCTAATGTCATCCCTCTGCCTGCTTGAAATGCATAAAATAAACCTCTGCTGTAGGCAGAGCAAGAAGACTTGCATCCAACTCCTATTCCTGTGTCTCCCTTGAGCCCGCTCCCCTTTTTCCTCCTTTTTCCTTCTTTTCTAGGAATCTCCACTCTCCGACACTGCTCCCACCTTGAGACCCTGCCTGTTCTGCTCTCCAGTAATCCGTGATCGGGGACAAAGAGTCTCCGACGACGTTATGGGGGGACATCTAGAGAAAGAGGGGAGATGGTAAGAGTATCTTAACAGCAAATCCAAGTTTCTCTGGACAGTTACTAGTTATTAGTGAGTCAGCATTGAAATGACACATTAACCATCACTGTCTTTCAGCAACAGGAGGGCTCTATCACAGTGTTCTCACATAAATCTCTCTCTCTTTTTTTAAAGATTATTTTATTTGTACATACAGAACTGGGGTACAGGCCAGAGGCTCAGGGTCGGTGAGAGGCTTCACCAGAGACAGAGTGGGGAGCAGAACAGACAGATCAACGAAGTACACTGCTGAGGGGAGCAGCGGACGGGTCAGGAGAGGTCTGCCACGCCATGTGGTCACCTCCGGGGCAGGCGGGAATTGAACTCATGGGGAGGTGGCTTTAGCTTCTCAGTGCTGTGCTTTAACCCGCTGTGCCACCAGAGAGGGCCTGAATTCTCTCTTACTCCTCATAACAACTCTGCCAGGCAGAAGTTATTATCCCCCTCCACTGCTCAGGACACTGACCTCAGAAAGCTGAACAGACTTTTAGGTGCAACATCTGAAAAACAGCAGTGAAATTATTAATAATCTCATACCAGCTGTACCAGGTCTTCTTAAGGGTGCTGTAGTTTTTTTATGAGGTCAATAAAAATCAATATAAATTACTCCTGGCATCTCTGTTGCATCTTTCTATTGTGTCGTGCTTGCTTGTTGCATATGGCAACTGCATAATGCCACAATCGAATTCTGGGTTATATAACTTCTTAGCCAGTCCATAGTCAATACGGGAGAACATTGGCCTATATTATCTTTCATGTCTCCCAAGCAACTGCTTGGGATGGCGCACTGCAAAAGACCTTGAGTACAGGGTCCAAAAATATTTTTAGATCTTTGCTTATTGGCAAATCAAATCCTAAGGGGGACACTCAACATTGCCTGGTCGCACAGACAAGCATTCAGGCCAGCTTGTCAGTCCTCCCATGTTTTTAGATCCTAAACAGTTGCCAAGGGAGAGAGGGTCTGGAAGTGCTGGGATGTTTGTATATCTGACTGAGCTCAGCAGGAACAAGAAAGGATGGGACTCAAGCAGGGATTGTTAAGTGGTGGGTAGAGAAGCAGAGTGGGAGGTAGCTGGAGTAGGTGAGGCAGCTCTTCTCTCCATCCAGAATACCTGGTGTGCAGTAGCCTTTATCTAACCTGCCGAAAGTTCTCCTTCCTGCCCTACACTGTCATCATCTTCAGCTACTAGAGTCAAGATTTCTGCCTTAAAGCCCTGAAAAGCTCCCAAGGAAGCAACTGATTCATGCACATTTACGCAGCCAGGCACTTCCAGCAACTGGCCACCATAAGTGGGAGGTCCATGGTGCCATTGTAGAGTTCCATATTTTCTCCCCACAGAGCATAGACATGCTTAATTTCCTTTCTCCTCTAACTCAGAGTTGGCACGAAGTGGTAGAAAGTAAAGAAAAGCCTGGTACATCTGTACCAGGCTTTTCATCGCTTAGGTCAATCTGTCAATTTACCCATACATCCACCACCAAAGGCTTATTTCCTTTCTGGTATACTTTATTATATTTTATTGAACTGGTCTACTGTACTGTATAGGATTAAGAGGGCGATGTGTCATCAGATGCCTGCAGCACACCACATGACCACTGAGGCGCCTGCCTACGTCCCCTGCCCTCAGCCCACTGGGGCCTCCAGCCTTTGTACCCCCAAACTCCCCTTCCGCCTCTGCTAGCCTCAACTTTACAGTCACACTAGGCTTGTTCTTGGTTTGGTTGAAAGGTTTATTTCCTGGCTGTGTTGGGCACTGAGGATGAGTCAGTTCAGAAACGACCCATCCCCGCCTCTGCAGGAGGTAGTTCACTGGACAGTTCCATTGCTTAAGGGGTGTACTCCTGGAAAATACCATGCTCTGTTTGCTTGTTATTAAGAGAAAAATACACAATGAAAATGATATTTATTTTTATTGCATCATTTTACTGACTAGAACGCCAGACTTATAGTGGATATAAGTATAAAAATAACCACATTCTTACAAATAATACTTTGCTGCTACAGTACTGAATAATTAGTGGAGTTTGAAATTATAATACAACTTTAAATAACATTGTCATATGGATTGAACACAGTTGACCAGGGGCTAAAGTGAAACAGTTGGTAAGGAGAAATCTGGGACAAGGTGAAAACTCCAAAAGTTCATTGTCCAGCCATGCGTCATTTAACCATAAATCCAGCAACAAACAATAACAAAACCCATAGCAACCCAAGATCAAACACCTTTCCTTTTAAAGAAATAGACCAAGGTAGTACAGGATAAGTGAGTGGGTCAGTTTCTCAGGCAGGTCGATTCCACCCGCCCCGTGTGGCCGCATCCCTCCCACCCAAGAACTCTGCAGGAGACATTCAATGTCTCCCAAAACTGATAAAACCAGAATCTAACATGTGAGTTCTTTTGAAATGTCCTCTTTAAAAATGCCCAGGGGACAGAGCCAGCCTCTTTTTACTCCTGAATTGTTCCTTTTGGTTTCACAGGGTTCTCTGAGTCTATGTCAGACAGGACAGATTCTAACCCCTCTGGAAAGATACTGGAGCACAACGAATTAACAGTATTCTATACTTTAATGTTCTTTGTAATTGAACCATTTCCTCGTCTGGGATTAGAGTTAAGAAAGAACACATACATGCAAGCAAACTACAAAACCGTGTCTCTGTTTCCAAAAATGTCAATGACACTTTGTCGAGAAGGAAATGAAAAATCCCTTCTGAGCCCCACAAAAGTTTTCACATAGAAAAAAAAATCTCCAATATTAAGGGTATTCTTAAATATGATACAAAATACTGAGCTTTGCAATTGTCCTCTCCCCAAAGAAGTGCTCCAGTTTCAAAATTGGTGCAAGTATCTCAGAACTCTGGTCAAAGCCCTTGCTGGTGGGCATCAGGCTAACTAACCTAGGCCAGAGGCACTGGGACTGCTCACGCTACCTTCTTCCGGACAAGTTCACAATCGCGGGGTGCCTGGCACTTCACGAGCCAGAAGACAGCAGGGAGGAACCCACCAGCCATGAGTGAGGACGGCCCTCAGGGGTCTGCGCCAGGAACATTCACATAAGAGTAAACACCACCCTTTCAAGGTGTTTTCTTGGGGTGCCAACCAGCTTGTATTGTGAAGATGCTGCCCTCCCATCTGGGCCTTTAAGGGTTACCACTTCAAGGACTTCACAGTCACACCTTAGTTTTTGACCTCAACTGCCATCCAAACAGCTTGATTACGCATCCAAACTGCTTGATTACGCTATCCAGAAACTTTGGCATGAAGTGAGTCAGCTGTTTCTGAAAATAAGCTTTTATCAAAGGAATGTCTGAATCGAAGACATTCAGTGGAGTGTGTTCTCACCCCCTACACGCAGAGCCACTTACCAGTACACTTCTTGCTAAGCACAAGCCAACCTGAGTTTCCAAATGATGGCTGCAGGGTCCAAGAAATACAAGTCTGAAAGGACTTTTCTCAAAACAGGGTTCACTTTCTTTCTTTCTTTCTTTTTTTAACTTAATGGCATTAATTTAGTTACCGCTTACTATTGGTTTTTTTAAAAAAATATATTAATTTTTTTAAGCCCGTTCTCTTCTGTCCTCTTTGACATCTGAAATGCACAGGATGGTGGGGCCCTTGGTAGGAAGGTGATGGGGGGCGGTCAGTGGGGCAGCAAGCTGGGAAGAAGAGTTTGAACGCAGCCTGCTAAGGCAAGTTATTTATTCTCTCTGAAGGCTGAAGTCTAGGGAGTGGGAACCACGGTGCCCACCTCATAAAGGCATAGGGGGCCTCACACCTTGCACTGAGCCTGGCCCGAGCAGGACATGAGGTGGGCTGCTTGTGACAATTCAAATGTCCTAAATTCTCCAGTGCTCTGGGCTGAAGGAAAGGGCAAGAAGAAAAGACACACCTTTGGAGTTTAAACAAAACCAGATGCCAGAGGCCAGTGGTCAGAGGCCCTGCCCTGAGCTACCTGGCTGTCCCAACGGAATTTTAGGAGCTCGCGGCAGCTGAGTTCTTTTACTCCCAGGAAACTCCGGCCTTGGGGCTCCACACGGAGGGCAGCATTTCGGGTGCATGAATGTCACGCCAGAGTGAGGCCGACACCAAGCCAAACCGGAGCTGAGGGCTCCCGCTGCCGGCCGTGTGCGCCAGCCCTGTCCCTCTTTCCCCTCCACCCCGCAGGCCTTCTGGGATATTAACCCCCAGCTGGAGTGAAGGCCTCTCTCCGTGAGGCTCATGAGGTAACCGTCATGCTGTCTCATGCCTTATCGGTTCCTCAAGTTGTGGAGACACGCCCACCCCACCCACACAAGGCTCCTGGAAAGGTCCTACTGAACTCAACCCTGCAAGGTGCCTTCTTTGTTCACAGTGAAAGAAAAGAAACACATACCTAATCAACTTGAACTGCGCAAAACCGGTTTATAGGAAAGTATCTTGGTACTCACAGGACACGCTTTTCTGGACTGTGGATTCTCCTCAAAACCGCTTTTGGGGCAGAACACTGAATTTTGTGGTTTCTAGCTTCTGGCCTTGAGCTAAGAGGTGGTATGTTAGCTGTGGTATCAGCGGCAGGCGGCAGACATGTCTGCCTGGGAAGAGGCCCTTTGGTGGCTCTGGATCTTGGGGTGAGAAGAGTCTGCCTCAAGAGCTAGGAAGCCAGCCACGCATGTCTGTTAGCTCAGGCGAGCTGAGTGCCTGAGCCTGGAGCTCTCCAGTAAGATGCAGGGCCGGGAGGCACACATGGCTGTTTGGTTCCACAGAGAGATGCAAAACCCAGGATTTCAAAAAGGTGATGATGCTCTGTCATCTTAAGGCGGCATCCACTGATAACACTCGTATTCTTTTTGTAGCTATTGTATTGAGTCCACCTGAACGAGTAAGAGGGCTGTTCCTGACCGGCAGCCTGCTGCAGCAGGTGGTGGGGCTCGTGGGGATGACAGGAGGCAGGAGTTCGCACTTACAGCTGTGAGGACGGAGATGACGTGAGAGCGACTAGAAAATGCCCAGGGTAGCATTGCCTCCAAAGGCTGACCCTTTCCAGAAAAGTGGGTGCCACTGTGCTCCAAGCTTTTGGGTGGGGACAATTCTTTTACCTGTGTTCACGTCATCCAAAACCAGGATGTTGAAGAGTAGGTGATGAGAACAGTTGCAATTTCACAAGCGGTAAAGACTGAGCACACACACCCCTCTCATCCCACAGCCAAAATAAAGAAGACGTGGACTTTCCTTCCCCAAGGCAAACTCTCAACTCTCTGGCCTGGCCAGAGGTCTTCAGTTCTCCACTGCTGACTTAAATTATAAATGTTTCTAGAGGGAACCATGTAGTAATATAAAGAGGTGCACATTACCGGATGAGAGGACTTAAGTTCTTTCTTCAATGAATAAATAGCCTTGAGTTGTGCACGAGGCCACAGATCCAGTCAGACAGTGCATTAGCAGGTAAGTGGCCTCACGTGGGGCTCCTCTCCAGCTCCTTAATCTTCCTCAAGAATCTGCCAGGCTTCCAAAAATACTGGTGTTTCAGGAACTCTAACTGACCTGTTCAGTCCATCCCTCTAATCACACTCAGTGACTGGGGCTGCATCAACTGCCTTTCCTCTGGCAGTGAAATCTCAGGTCCAACCTCCATCCAGCTTTCCATTTCTACCCCTTAGGTGGTAGCCTCTGCTCAAAGGTGGTCAGAGGCCCCCACCCCGCCCCTGTGCCAAGCAATGCCACCAGAGACACAACGCCCCACTGTCCATGCTGCAGCTCTGTGAATCTTCCACCAGGGCCTTTGCTGTCGCCGCCTGGAAGGCCTCCCTCCAGGGCAGCTGGATGCCCCTAACTCGCACCAGGTGGAAGTTATTTTGCCCTGATTCAGGCTTGTTTGCCAAAGTGAGATTTAACCACAATGGGAAAAATCACCTGAAGTCAAAGCGTCACCCTGACTCTAAAACAAATGAGCTGTGTGCTGTGCCTCACAAGTTGCAACTCACTCTGGGGACTGGCTTGGAGCAGACTGAAACACTGTAGGCTGAGCTACAGCATTCCAAACTGCAGTGGTATATTCATCATCATCTGTTATCTAGCATGCGGGGACTAGGCAGGAAAAGAACTAAAAAAGGCCGCATTTTGTTGTAAAGTAATCACCAAATTGAGGCTCAAGAGAATGTCTGAGGCAGAGAGTCCTTTCTGGAACAGTCTTGAAAATAATCCCAAAGGAGACTTCCCTACCCAAATCACTAAAGTGCAAGCTAAGGAAATGCTGGGGCCTTGCAACGATGCCTTGTGGGCTGCCCTGGCACAGCCACGCCGGCGCCAGGGGCCTGCTGGGGTGCTCCCTGCCCACGCTCACATTCACAGTAACAAGGAAGGTGCTAAACAAGCAGCCTGCAGTCCCACGTCCACAGGGTCCACGCGCCCCCTTCCCTCACACCCGCCCTGCTTTGCTGCCACTCAAGCACGGCTCTGCGTGTCCTGGAGCAGCCAACGGCGACGCTCCCTCCTGGGCACAGGGTCCCGACGACACGCTCAGAGCAACGGCCCCTCTCTCTCTGCACTTAAAAGTAGTCTCTTCTCCTGCTCTCATCACTGATGAAAGATGGGTTATACTGTCCAGGGAAAATGCAAGAATGCCGAGAGCCAGGCAGTCCAGTGTAGGCTGGGTAGAGTCCATTTCGTTCAAGTTCAGGATTCCTCACACTTGTGGGCTGGTGGCCAAAGAGAAAAAATTCAATAGATTATTTCTGGGTTTAAATTTCATAGATTTTTTTAAAAAAGAAGGCTACATTTAATAAATTTAAGATGGGGGCAGTACACAGCAAAGAGCAAGGACCTCCCACGTGTTTCCTTATGGAAGTAGGATACCTTTGCCTTTGCTTTCAAAGAGCACAAGAAAAAAAAAAAATCAACACACACACACACACACATTTAAGGAAAACCCAGTGATTTTAGACCAACATAACAAAAATCCTGGCTAAATACTATATTGATTATTATCACAATTAAATTATCACCTGCTTACTATCTTGACTTAAACAAAATGTCTAAGTCATTTTGGGGAGCACAATGATCTTAACTTCTCGCTGGCAGTTAGCAGAAAGCAACTGGGCTTACCACGGAAGGGGATGGACCTTTACAGGTAGCAAGAAGCAAGGACCCAAAGCAGGAGGCCACAGTGACTCAGGTATCTCCCACAACAGCACAATTTAGTGGTCTGCAACTATTTGATGGGGAAAAACGTCCTGGAAATGACCTGGTTCCTTTTAGGAGGGCTTCATCCAGGACCACCAAGGGAAAATGCCTGCTTGGTGGAAATAAAACACTAGATACACCATATTAGAAAGAGAATCCTATGAGACCCCAATGTTTACCTAGGACCACTGTGAGGGGCAATTCCCTCACTCAGGTGACAGCTTTAAGCCATAAGCTTCAGCCCTGCCTACTCAGACGACTATTTCTGAAATGAAGATAGGGTTCATTTAAGCGCTTGATTCTATATAAGGCAATTCTTTAGTTAACACCATGGAAACGCAGCAAAGTTGGGACCTGTTCATTTGTGTTATCACACCACATCGGGTGGAGGATACCCTAAAAGGGACTGAGTGTATGCGCACATCTGAGTAAAATACCTGCTTAGTTGTGTCAGCAGTTATTGGAGTAAAAAGAACTTTCTCAATAAACAGGGAAAAAAGCAAAGCCCTTTTGCAGAAATATATATGGAATTATATTTAGCTAGAGTTAAGTTTGAGTCTGTCCTCCTGATTTCTTCTTATTCGTCCTCCCGGTTGAAAATTTCCAAGAGTCCATCAAAACGTCTATAGCAGAAACAAACCCATTCCTTCCATCCAAAGTCTGAACTGCCAAAGTTAACTCCCAGGGCAACTGACAAAACGGTGGTTTCTGTCACATGACTGCCCAGTGCTATTAAGTTCCCCCTCCCTAGGGTCAGCTTTCATGTTTATTGCTTATCTCAAACTCCTCCAAATGGCATGAGATATCCTGTCTTTGTTTACTTATGTGACTTGAACTGAGCAACACATAGGAGTTCGTGTGAACAGAAGTAGCAAGAGCTCAAGGCAGTCTCCCACCTTTCTCAATGAGGCAGCCAGGAACTGGCCAGAGCAAATTAATTCAGGCTCCTGAGTATATGATCCAAACCTCAAGAAGCGTTTGTTGGGGGTGACAGGAGTCATTCACTGTAGCATTTTTCCCAATTCCTGCCATTTTGACTAAACAGCCACAGGTAGTAGAGCATGGCAGCCAAGAGGGGAAAATGAAAGAGCGAGTGTCTTACTGTCACGTATCCTTTCTCCTTCCGTTTCCAGTCCTGTAGCTTAAAAGCAAGTTCAGGAACAAGACAGTGATTACTACAACCTCGCAACAGTCATGTGGCTCGTGGAACTATCCTTCATGGTTCAATGTCAAAATGAATAAATGCCATGCAAACACAGGGTAAGTAAACGGAATCTTATGCAAATAAGCAGTCCACACCACCATTCTCTTTAAGCCTTAGCCAATGCTAACGGACTGGACGACAACAAAACCGAATCCCTTCTCTCTCAGAGGAAACTGCAGCACTGAGGCTGCCCTGGGCATGGGGATACACACCGAATAATACACATCTGTCATCTGGAGCAGGTTCTTGGTACTTCCATTCTCATGCATTTCAATGGCTTCTCGGCCCCATTCTTGTGATCGAGGATTCTTGGGGTACTCAGCATATGGGGACATTTGGAAATCCCCACTTTTGAAGATGAGTTTGCTTATATCATTTTTATTCTTTCTGTAAGTAGTAAAAAAAAAAAAAAACATTTGCAAAGTTACATGAAAGAGTTCCAAATGATAGCTGGAAGCACCATCTGTTATTTCATAAGGTAAATCAGACTGAGAGCTCCCACTTATTTCTTTATCGCTGCCCACAGAGGAATGCTATTATTTTTAGTACTTGCCAAAAACAAGTCAAAATGCAACTGGGTGCAAAGCAGTCTTCAATCCGAAAGGCCAGGTTATCGGGAGCCAATGGGACAAAGAAGCTGTGGCGGAGCTGACCTGGCTCCTGTGGGGACAGGATCCTTTGCGCCGTGGAGGCGGCCAGAGAATAAAAATCACAAATTCACAGAAGCTGGTGTCAGAGCAGCCTTCAGAATTCTTTAGTTCAGAGATTCCCAACCTGTTTGGGCACCAGAATTTACATGGAAGCATCTAAGTCTCACAGAGGTTTACTGAAACAGGAGCTCTGGGGATCACACAACTCTGCCCTTGCAAAGAAATGGACTTGCTCCCTGGCATTTGCTGCTAGTAAAGCTGGGACTAGAATTCTGGTCTCCCACTCCCTGGCCAGTGCTCTTTCACCTCTTGAAGCTACTCCACACATCAGAAAAATAGTCCATGTATTTGTTTGTTTTTTAAAAGATTTATTTATGCATGCAGAACTGGGGTACAGGCCAGGGCTGTGGGAGGTGAGAGGATTCACTAGAGACAGATTTGGGTACAGAACAGGCCGACTGATGAAGTACACTGCCGAGGGGAGCAGCGGGCGGGTCAGGAGAGGTCTGCCGCACCATGTGGTCACCTCCAGGGTGGGGATACACTGGTACTGAAATGGCTGTGGCTAGTTTGCAGTGCTGCACTTTAACCTGCTCTGCCACCAGAAAGGGCCCTAGTCCACGTATTTATATACCTGTGTATACTCTTCCAGCAGGTCAGGGGATCCTGGAGCAAGTTCCCTACTGTTGAAATTTCACTAACTGGAAGTGCTTGGGGCATGTGTGATTCACCTGTCTAGTGGGACTACAGCCGGAGGTTTAATTATATATGTCCTGGATAAGATAACTGAAGTTTCTTCCTTCTACCTATAAATAAATGTTGTGGGGAGGTAGAAAATGACGCAAGCTCATAAAACCAAATGTCCAGCAAGTGGCGCAGGTGTTGGCCTGCTTGCAAGTATAGAACAGGCCTGCCACTGTGCTATTCACTGAAGGTGGGGCATCATCTTTGAACAAAGACTTGGCATTCACCATCACCTTCCTCTCCTGACACGAAGAGGCTCCTGCCTGAAACGGCCACACCACCGGGTACAGGCCACTTAGCGTCAGTGACACTTATGCCTGTTGAGCACCAGGCTTTAGTTCTCTAGGTCCTAGTCTCAAAGTCAGAATTTTATTGCACCCAATGTATTTTTGATGCTTTGAGGGCAACTATATAAGAGAAGGCAAAGGGGCTCAGAATGGGCCCCCTGAATGTGCCACGTGAGCATGTGGATTACAGTGATGGCTTGATTGGCAGGTCCTGTTCACTACAGATGGTGCTCACAGTAGGCCACGCCACCATGCCCTGCGTGTAATTACGCTTCGTGATGTTTGCACAATGACGAAGTCACAGCCCATTTCTCAGCAAGTATCGAGAACTGTGTGACTGTATTTCAGGCTGATGGTAGACAAGACCCTGCAGTCTTAAGGGCAAACCTTTACCTTTCCTTCAATTGTATAACAAGAATTTAGATAGGAGGTACAATGGGTTCTGTCTGAATGAAATTTATGTTTGGCAGAACAAACATCTAGTCACCGCACTTCTTATCATGCTGTGAATTACCTCCTCCCCTTTGAAGGTTTAAGCAACATCTCCATCCCTTACCTCAGTCTGGCAGAATTAACCAGCCAGCTCTTCAGACTCATGTCTCTGAGGCCTTTTGACATAAACTATTACGTTGTTTTTCCTAATAATCTGTCTTATTTACCCACTTAATTATAGACCAGTAAAAGAACCTAGATGGATAGAAGGAAAATTTTTCTTTCCCTACACAGGCAAAGGTTGCACCACAAAGCCTGCATCCCAGAACAGACAGTCTTCCTGGGGCTAGAGGATGGCTTACGGTGTCCTCCGTGTTCAAAAGTCGATGAGAAAACGTGTTATTTTGTTCAGTTCCCTCATCTGTTATATCGGTTTCAGTCCTGCCATTTGTTAGCAAGTAATAAGTATTAGTCATAGTTTTCCTTTGTCTGAGTAAATGGCCCCAGGGAGGGGCCCGACCCCTTTTCTCTCCCTTTGCAGTAGAAACCCAACCCTGCTAGTGTCCTGTAAGCCTACAGACAAGGTTCCTGCTGAGAACCTGCTTGCCCCACCTGCCTCCCGTGACTTCCCTACAGCTGAAATATTTCAGGTAACCCTATCTTCATCTTGATTTGCTTCTTAATTTGCCCATTTAAAATAAGCAAGTCAATGGTTTTCAGTATATTCAAAGTTGTGCAAACATCGTCATACTCATTTTTAGAACGGCTGCACCACCCAAACTCCTGAGCTATTTACCCTCCTGTACTCCCCCATGACCCATCCCAGTCCTAGCAAACTACTAATCTACTTCCTGTCCCAATGAGAGTTGCCTTTTTTGGACATTTCATTATAAATATAACTCTATAATAAGCGGTCTTTCGCGACTGACTTATTTCACTCAGCGTATTTTTCAAGATACATTAGTATTTCTATCCTTTTATGGATGAAAACATTTCATTGTATAGATATATCGTATTTTGTTAATCTTACCTATCAGATGAAGGATATTATGTTCACCTTTTGGCTGTCATGAATAATGCTGCTACGACCATTATGTTTAATTTTCATTTCTCTTGGTACGTTCTTAAGAGTGGCGTGGATGGGTCAAAGGGCAATTCTGTGTTTGAGTTTCTAAGAAACTGGTAGATTTTTTTCAAAGTAATACACCATTTTACATTTTTACCAACAGTGTATAAGAGGCCTAGTTCTTAAACATTCTCACCAACACTACTTTCTCATTTTTGTTTGTTGTTTCATAACTAACCACCCAGCAGGTTTGAAGTGTATTCATGGTGTTCTGATTTCATTCCTTTAAAACTAGGTGTGTCGATAACCCTTTCATGTGCTGATGGCCACTGTATTACTTCTTTTGAGAATTGTCTATTCAACCTTTTAAAAAAATATATTTATTTACTTATTTTTTGGTAGGAAGAAATGGGGTGTAGGCCAGAGGTGAGGTGGGGGGAGGGGAGAAATGAGAGGATTTGCCAGAGACAGTGGGGAGCAGAACAGGCCAGACTGAAATCATTGCTGAGGGGAGCAGGGCAGAGACAAGGGTGGTCTGTGCTGCACATGTGGGTAGCTCCCTGGCTGGTGATCTGACTCAGGCTATAATGGTGATAGCGCTGAGATTTAACCCCTAGGTCTCCAGGAAGCCCACTATTCAACTTCTTTACCCATTTTCAAGTTAGGCTATTTGTCTTACTATTGAGTTGTGAGATTTCTTTATGTATTTTTTGATAGGTGCCTTATCAGACATAATTTGTGAGTTTTTTTTTTTCCTTTCTGTGAGTTTTCAGTTGACTTTCTTGGTAGTACTCTGTGAAACAGAAGTGTTACATTTTGATAAAGTCCAATCTATTCCTTTTTTTTTCTGTTGATTTTGCTTTGGGATTTTCACTTTAAAAATGAAAAAAAGAAAGTGCAAATTGCCACCCTTATCTTTCCCTCTTGGCACTCTCATGGGTTTCCCTCTCTCTTCTCTCTCTTTTTTTTAAAAAAAAGATTTACTTATTTATGCATATAGAAGTGGGGTACTGGCTAGAGGTGCAGGAGCAGTGAGAGGATTCACCAAAACAGAGTGGGAAGGAGAACAGGCAGATCGACAAGGTACACTGCTGAGGAGAGCAGCGGGCGAGACAGGAGAAGTCTACTGCGCCATGTGAATCACCTCCCGGGTGGGGATCGAGCTTGCACTGAAGCAGCTAAGGCTTGGCTTGCCTTTGCAGTGCAGTGCTCCAACCTGCTGAGCCACCAGGAAGGGCCCCTCCCTTTCTCCTTTTTTTAATGGTTCATTAAAATAATGAATGGTTCATTAAAAATAATCTGATCTCGTATTTTAAACCACCTGAACATTTTTTAAAGAGTAAAAATTACCCTATTCATAGCACAGGCAAAGAAACAGAATGTGACTCCCATCACTCACCGACAACAGGTAACAATCAGTGCAATGCCTAGGATGAGGAGAAGCCCACCTCCAGCTGCTGCAATCACCACGGTGATAAGCTGATAGGCTAGACGTGGTCAAAACGAAAAAAGTGGATAGTTAAAATGCATACAAAAGAATGGTTTACCTCCCTACTCCGCAACTACCAGGTCTCAGTTGGTAAACTCAAGTAGTATAATAAGCCCTGGGTTTTCTCTTTTGCTAATGCAAGCTAATGGGGCTGGCGGGCCAAGGAATCCCATCCGAAGAGCGCCTTCGCTAATAAATACACCACGGGTCACAGGAGCAAATAAGGTTCCTTTGTTTTAGCTATCTTGGTTGATTTTCACAACTGACCATACCTGACCGTTTTTTCCTTCTATGCTTTCTATTTCCCACTCTTCTGTTTTAAGTTCACCAATAAAAAGTGTGACTGGAAAAGTCTAGGCCGAATCTCAGTCCCAATAAAAACAAGTTCCCAGGCCCTAATGTGCGCTGCACCTACTCCTTGCTGCCACACCCTCTCCCCTGCCCTTCTTTGGCTCATGGTCCAGGTGCAGTGCAGTGCATAATTTCCGGGCTGAGTAAGTAATAAACCTTTATTTTTTCAAAGTTTTCTAACAGTTATTGCCAAAGGGCCTCTTGCACTCATCAGAACCACAAGGGCCAGCTCAATTACACGTTGATTATTGACATACTGACACTGGCCCCAAACACCTCACCTTTCACTCCCTGTAAGGTTAGCTGCATGTTTTCTCTGTTGAAGGTAGCAAAATTTGCTGCCCAAAATATCTGGAACATTTATTACTTTGGGCTGATTCTTTTGAGAAACTGTACACTCTGAGCTCTGAAAACAATGGGAATTGTTTGTAAGGCAGATTTACATTAGCTCATACCAGGAAGAGCGCTATTACCAGAGGTGACTTATCTGCTTGGCAAGGTAGACATTGCCTCCTCTCACCTGCCTGAACTGCCCTCCCCTATTTTGAAGCCCGAGAACCCTGTCTTTCCCCTCAGCTCGGCAATGTTCAACTCTCTGTTGAGTCTCATATTGCTATTGGGTTCCAGTATGTATATATGCAATTAATTTTTTGGGTCCTATTCATCTGTCTTTTATTATAGAGAAGGATCTTAGCCTATAACAACATAAGGAAAGTTATTTTTCCTGCAGGCTCAAGAGAAAATTATCTGGAAGACAGGAAACTGATGGTCTCACAGATTAAGGTTATTACCAGAAATAGTCTTTATATCAGAGAACTCTATCTATATTTATTTATTTAATGAAGTACCTTTACATCCTTGTTATTACTTTGACAGTACAGGATATTCTGACTCTCAGGTGTGGTCATGTAGCTCTCCCACCAACAAAGCACCCAGAGTCCTCTATCACAGTCCATTGTGCCCTGCTCCCCCTACCCAATTCTCACCTCCTTCCCCTCCTCTCCTAGATGCCTCAGGTCTATGGTCAGATTTCAAGGATTGGCTTTAAAACATATCTTTGTCTGACCCTTTGTTTGGTTTGTCTATATTCCACATATTAGTGACACCATCAGGTAAATGTATTTCCCCTTCTGACTTATTCTGAGCACAATCCCTTCCAGCCCAATCCACGTTGTCACAACTGGCATGAGTTTATCTTTTTTGATTGCTGAGTAGTATTCCACTGTGTATATGTAGCACATCTCCCCGATCCTTTCATTTGTTTTGGGGCATATGGGCTGCTTCCATATATTGGCTATTGTAAATAGCAATAAACACAGTTGTCCTTTCAAATTAGTGTTTTTATGTTCTTTGGGTAGGTAGATAACCAGAGTGGAACTGCTGGGTCATATGGCAGACCCATTTTTAGTGTTTTGAGGAATATCTATACTGCTTTCCATTGGGGCTGGGCCAGTTTATAGTACCACCAATAGTTTAAGAGGGCCAAGAACCCTATCTATATGGCTGAGCAGACACCTAGTTACAAAGCATCTGGTCTTCATTGTATGAGTCAATTTTTTTCATCATGTGAGTTACTTTCCTTTCTCCCAACACCCCAGGCTCCCATTCCATTCCTTAGCTCAAGATATATACCCCTAATTTGCCCCATGAACTTTAGAATCCCAATTTCTAGGTAGATCCCCCACATATATATAATTAAATCTAATTGGATGTCTGATGTGAATTTGATTACTTTACCAGCCTGAGAAGAACCCAGGAGGCAGGGGTAAGTTTTTCCTTCTCACCAACAATACATAATAAACAATATTAAAATTTTAATTAAAGGTTTTATGCCTCTGTGTTTCTGGGGAGGAAATCATAGTTTCAACAAAGCTAACTAAATATTCTAGTTGATTTATTTTGCCATGGAAATATAATTAAAATCATGTTCTCAGGTTCTAAGTTCAAGGATGGAAAAAGGGGCCAATAACAGGATTTTCTGTAGTAAATGAAGACTCTCTAGGTATTCAGGTAAGGTCAATGGATAGCACAGAGCTGACAATGAGCAATACAAACTCTGCAACCAGTTAGCAATCTGTAAAGAAACAGCTCAGTAACATGGCGATTATGAGAAAACATCAGAATTAAGGTATACAGGAAACAAAGACAAAGCATAGGAACAAGGACAGTCTTTCCTTCACCTCCTGACACATGTATTCTAGATTCAGTTATAACAGAAGTAAAGGAAGAACAGACCTCTTGAACCTGTTGACTCTTCTTCCTCTCCACCCACCTGCTCTCTGCCACCATCAATTCTGGACCCCTCACTGGACAGCCTTAGTCACGATCCAGTTCATCTGTCTGCACTCAGCCTTGCTTGTTCTTCTCAAAAACAAAACTGATAGTGCCATTTCCCTGCTTTAAAGCAACCTACAGTGGCTCCCTTTGCTGCTAACGAAAGACCAAAGTCTGGCTCCTGCTTACTCCTCCACACCAAGTTCAGAATTTCTCATTTCCAGTGAAACAAAAACAGCACTGTGTCAGGTTCCGCTTTGAAACAAGCAATTTCGCCTAAAACAGAAGCGACAATGGTGTAGACTAGTGCTGCTCAATTGATCCGAGCTCAAGGAACACTTTTTCTTTGTGGTTTTAGAAATTCTCTTTAAATAAAGAAAATTAAGCCTCATTTGCTCCTCTGTCTTTCCCCACAGGCACCAAACATGATGAATTTCCCTTTCTCCTTTTTTAAAGAGTCTACTATGAACTGATACTTTTGTAAAGTACAACAAATTTTAAAAGGGTCCCATGCTTGGATGTTATAGCCATGTCAATCAGTACAAATGTTTCTAGGTGCTCACTCTTATTTTTTGGTATTATTTTCTAGTAGTGCAGGTAAACTCATAGACCATGCTTTGAGTAACACTGGTGTGGATGAATGCTTCTCCAGCTTTCTGGATCATTCAGAGGGCTTGTTGAAACACAGATGCCCAGTTCCCCCACAACAGATTTGATTCCTAAGTCTGGGCTAGGGCTCAGGAGTTCTATTTCTAGCAAGATCCTGGGGGATGAGAGGCTGCCAAGCTGCAGCTCAGACTGTGGGCAGAACTGGCTTAGATGACACAGGAAAAGGAAGACATCTATGCACACGAGGCTAAAGCCCCTTGCCCCTCGTGGGAATTCGCCCAAACATCCATCTAGCCAGCCCTCCCTTGGGTAAAAGAGAACTTTTATTTTCTTCTTTGTGCTTTTTCAATACTCCCCAAATTTCTTTCATATTTTCACACAAACACACTACATGGCTCTAAATCTAGACATTGCAAGCATGTACATATACATGTAATCTATTTTATATGTATCCACTTTTTCAAAGAGCACATTTGATGTCCTTTGGCAGCCATATTCCTGGACACTTGTCGTAAGCCTATACACAAATAACTGACAGATCTTTTTCCTTATACCTGCTGCCAAGTTAGTTTGTGAAATACAACCTACCTTTTGGACTTATGTACTGACTTTAGACTTATTGAGGCTACATGATGGTGTGTGAGCAAAGTGGACTTGAGGCAATACTACCTGTGATGTATATGAGCTCGAAAGTGACCCTGATGTGTATTTATGAAGGGGACACAGAGGCAGAGGTCTGCCTGACCGACCCTTTCTAGTTTGAAGAGATTCTCTACAACTTGGAATTCTTAGTGTGATTTTCCCTTGGACATCTGTCAACATTTCAACAGTCTTCCCCAGTGTCATCATAGGTTGATATGGCTGCCGTCGCTGTTGACATTTTTCATTAAACCGGCTCACTCTGGGCCTTAACTGTTCCTGTGTGCTGCATTTGTCCTTCCTTCTGTGCTTATTTAAATGGAATCTACTGGCCTGTCTGCTCAGCCAACCCTCTCCTGGGGACTTCACCCTTCCCCACGTGCAGATTACAAGTGAGGGCAGACATGCTTGTATATCCCCTGGCTACAGCACATGGTCTGGGATCAATCTGGATCATCCAAACTGGATCAATTATTTTCTTCCAAGGAAACTCAATTTGGGAAAGAGAGAGAAATTCCTTTCTGCATGGCTGAACCAGTGTCACCCCTCAAAGTTGTTTGGTGAGCCCATTTTCCATCATGCTGTCTGAGAAGGAGATGAAGCCTGATTACATACAGCAAAGAGCAGAGATGAGAGATGAGATGAGCCCAGGTTAATATGTGCTCTGATGGGACAGCCCCGACCTCCAGCTACTATGAGTGTGGAATTCCATGATTCTTGCTTCTCCTGATGCTGGGATTCCATGAAATGCTCCAGGATCCTTCCCATCTTTGCTGCCTAACCTAACTAGGCTTATTTATTCCAGAAGTCAACTGTGATATGTGACTTATAATATGAAATACATATTTGGTCTTCATCCTGTTTCTGGCACAGAATTCCAGAAACCCTTGGAATTTCCTAAGCAATAACAGTAAAGGTATCTTTTGTTAAATTAAAGAGGCTTTGAAAAGCCCCAAGGTAATCTAAGGATGGAGGCTGGTTGCCAGAGGAACCACCCTGATGATTAGAAGTTTGGAACATTCAGTTCTGCTGCCCCAACTCACGCTTCAACCTTCCAGGAGGGGAGAAGAGCTGGAGAGTGAGTCCAGATGATTTTATCAATCATGCCCATATATTGAAGCTTCC